CTCACTAGGACAATGAATAGTGGAGAAGAGACAGTAGCAATAAAATCTGAAAGCTAAAAAGCCAATGAATGAGTGATAAATGAGTGTGCAGACCAGAGAAGCCAAACTGAGCCTGTAGTGGATGAATTCAACAGCACTAACTGATAGCGCAGGTCCCTGAAAATGCAGAAGAATTGAAGGCATTAGGCATTTCTAATAGTGGGATACACAGAGAATGCTGAAAGCTAAAGAATGAATTCAAGATTGTATTAGTAGTGAGACCCCTAGGATCCTTTCCCCTATCCCATACAGGATTACAAAGAATTTATTTATTTATTTGACAGAGAGAGAGACAGCGAGAGAGGGAACACAGGCAGGGGGAGTGGGAGAGGGAGAAGCAGGCTTCCCACAGAGCAGGGAGCCCAATGTGGGGCTTGATCCTAGGACCCTGGGATCATGACCTGAGTCGAAGGCAGGCACTTAACGACTGAGCCACCCAGGGGCCCCTCCATACAGGATTATACTTCCCTATTCTCACAGAAAACTAGAAATACAGAAAAATGGAACCAGAGGGAATCTGGATTCAGGAACATCAGGCATAGCTGTGGTTATGGGTATACTGAGAACAAAAGATTAACAGAAAATATATATACTTGTGATAAAATAAAAAATATATCTGGTCTTTGTTCCTGGTTCCTGGCACAGAGTTTCACAAACCACTGGAATTGCCTGACTGGAGAGTCTTTTGTTATTCACAAGCTCCTTTTGATCATACCTGAGTTTTCCTAATGAGATGATTCACAGTGGGCACTTAGCTTTAAGGTCTGGTCACTCACTGACCACATAATCAAACCCCAATAAAAAAACTCAGAGCAAGGACTCGGGTAAGCTTCCTGGTTGGTAACTATATGATGTACTTGGAGGGTGACACACCTTGATTTCATGGGCATAGAATTTCCTGTGCTTGGTACCTCCTAGACCTTGCCCTGTGTATGTCTTCAGCTAACATTTCATTGTATCCTTTATATAAAATGGCAATCATAAGTACAGTGCTTTTCATGAGTTTTATGAGTTGTTCTTTTTGTTTTTTAGTTTTGTGAGTTGTTTTAATGAATTATCAAACATGAGGGGGGGTGTGAAACTCTAAATTTAGTCAGCCAGACAGATATACGTGTAGCCTGGGGATCTTGGTTGCAACCAGTATCTGAACTGGTGGGCACCTTGCCCTTTAACTTGTGGAATCTGATGTTAACTCCAGGTAGTGTCAGAATTGAGTTAAAGTGTAAGACATCCATTTGTTGTCAGAAAATTTGTGCAGGCCACAATATACTGAAATAGCCCTGTTGATTTCATCCCAATTTAGCCCCCAGAACACTGATATTAACTTAACTCCCTCAACTAGGAATGAAAGTGAAGGTCTCTTCTCACAGGAAGATTATGTGTAAGAGAAAAGACCAAGTTACCAAAAGTGGGCTGTCCTCAGTATATTAACCCAACCAGATCATCATAAAGTAAACAAGACCCAATCCCTACTACACAGATGTTCCAATCATCTTTTTAGTATCTCATACTTAAAAATGATCAGTAAGCCATTGTTTATCAGACATTTGAGAAATGTTTTTTAACATGAAGAGCCCAAGAGAGAAAAAAGTATCTGTGAAAGAAACAATCAATGCAAGGAACAGAAGAAAATGTCAAAACATACAAGGAATAACCTCAGAGAGCTAACAGAATTAAACAGGCAGAAGATACTAAATAAAGGAATCCTAAGAAAACACACACACACAAAGTTCTTAGAAATTGAAAATACAATAATGAAAAAAAGTATTTTTAAAAACCCCAAAAGTTCCTGTCTAAACTCGGAATGTGCACAAAATTCTGGCTTCGTTTCTCAATTGACCCTGGAGAAATTATAGAGAATTTGGTTTTATATGGAACTGATGCAAACTGTGAAATATTCTAGGGAGATTGAAGACTGGTGCAAACTTTTATGTATTTGAGGGTGGAGGCTACCTGCCTGGAGAGATGGTAACAGAAGGCAAGGAGAGGCTGGCCTGGTAGTAAAGTCTTTAAACTCTGATTTCGCCTTTCCCTGAAATGCCTTGGGACCACTGTGGCCTGTGCCTTTACCAAAGAAATTGGTGGCAACTGCTCAAGCAGCTGAGTAAGTAGGATAACCTAATGGTAAAGAAAAAGTCCTGCTGGACAGAAGAATATGGCTGACCACCTGCTCTCAGGCATCTGTTCTACCTTCTCAGCTATTAAAACCCCTAGAGTTGGTGGATTACAAAAAGGGAAGGCATACTCCTCCTGTAGATGCTGCTGCTTTGTAAATGTTGAAAGATCAAACCCTGATGAGAAGAATTACCTGGTAGAGCAATAGCAAATAAAAGTTATCAGAGGTGAATCCTTAGGTTTCAGGGCTCGTCATCCTGAGCTCATCTCCTTCCATTTCTTAAATCTATTTGGAGGAACACAGACCTGGATCTATCTCTTGGCCCTTCCCCAGACACACTGCCGGACAGTGATTGATATCCTCTTGGGAACATGAACTCACAGGCGAAAATGGCCACACACCAGAGGGTACAACTGTTGTTGAAATAAGACCACAACTACCATGATCATCTTGACAGATACAGAAAAACTGTAGAATGTGGCCAACACCTATTTATGGTAACTCTGAGCAAATCAGCACTGCAAAGTAATAGCTATAACTTGGTAAACGTTATCAGAACTATAGCAAAAACTGTAGTTAAGTGAAGAATTTTAGATATGCTCCCTATAAGATGGGGAAAAAGAAATGGATGCCCGTTACCAATGTTACCAATTAAGACAGTCCTGGCTACCATTTATAAGCAAGGAAATAACAAGTATGAGGATTGTAAGGGAAGAGATAAATCTAACAATATGCAGATAATATAACAATCTAACTAGAAAAACAAAGAATAAAAAATTAACTTCAGTAAATTTGTTGGACTTTGAAGTTAAAGATCAACTTAAAAAATTAATAATATTTTGAGTAACATTAGCAAGATAGTGGAATAATAAGTGCTAGATTCTCCTGACTCCCACAAACACATCAACTCAACAGCAATACATGGATCAATTCCCTGTGTGAGAAATCTAGAAACTCGTTAAAAGAATCCTACATCCTAAGCAAGGGTGGAGCCAGCCATATCAAAACTAGTAGGAAAACTGGAGACACCTTCTCATCATGATCTCCATTCCTGGCATAATGCCGTACAACTGGGAGGAAACATCCAGCTTCTCCCTGAATACAAAAGAAGTTGGGAGTACACATCCAATATCTCAACTTTTCTGAGTGCTGCCTAACTGACCGTCTTGGAGGCTTGATTAGACCTGGGGTACCCTAGGCCCCTGGGGACTACAGAGAACAAAAGCACTGGTTTGAACTAGCATGCAGGCACTCACCACAGCTCCTTTCCCTGCTCAGTGCAGAGTGAGTGGGAGGAAAACTTCAGCTCCCAGCTTCTCCCTGGAGAAGGAAAGAGGTGGACTGTGTGTCAAACATTCCAACTTTTCTGGGCTTTGCCTAAGGGACTGGCACCTGTCTCATCAGTCTCAGAGTGCTGTTGGAACCCAGCAGATTCAAGATACCTGAGGGCCACCAAGAACAAAGAAGGTAGTTTGAACTAGCACACAAACTCACCATAGCTCCTCCTCCTGGCCTAGTGCAGAATGAATGGGTGGAAAACTCCACCTCCAGCTTGCACCACCTCCTTGAGGATGAAAAGAGTTGGACTATGCATCCAATTTTCTAACTTCTTTGGAAGCTACCCAAGGGACTGGCTTCTATCTCACTATTTCAGGACCCGGCATACACTGGACCCCCAAGGACTACAGAAAACAAAGGGAGTATTTTAACTAGCATGAAGTCACCATAGCTCTTACAGCAAGTGGGAGAAAAACCCCAGCTCCCAGTTTCTTCCTATGAGGGGAAAGAGTGCATCAAATGTGTCAACTTTTCTGGGGATCACTTGAGAAACTGGCTTCTATCTTGGAGCCCTGGAGGGACCTGGCATATTCTAGATACCTGGGAGCCCACAGAGAAAAAAGAAGGTGAAGGTGTTTCAAACTAGCATGCAAACACCTGCCATAGCCCTTTTCCCCATTCTAGGGCAGAACTGGCAGGCAAAACACTCCAGCTCCCACATTCTCTCTGGAAAGGAAAAGAAACTAGACCACATAGCCAATGTTCTAATTTCTTCAGGAGCTACATGAGGCATTGGTGCTGGTTTCAGAGCATTGATGGGACTTGGCATACTCTAAACACCTGGAAGTCATTAATAAAGACAGTGGTTTAGACTAGCATGAACGTTTGAGAGGCTCACAGAAGCTCTGACTGGTGAAGGTCTTCTCTTCTATGAGGCTAATCCATAATGAATGGCACAAGTGGCATTTTTCTTAACATGTAAATACCAACACAAAGAATCAAGAGAAGAAAATGAAGTAGAGAAACATAATCCAAACAAGGAAACAAAATAAAGCTCCAGAAAATTACCCTAATGAAATGTAGGTAGAGGAATTACCTGACAGAGAATTTTAAATAACCATTATAAAAATGCTCAATGAGCTCAGGAGAACAATGCATGAGGAAAGTGAGAATTCCAACCATGAGACAGAAAATTTAGAAAAAAAAAAGAAAAGAAAAAGAAATCTTGGAACTGATGAATGCAATAACCGAACTGAAAATTTCAATAAATGGATTCAACATTCAACAGACTAGAGCAAGCATAAGAAAGAATCAGTGAACTCAAAGACAGGTCTTTTGAAATTACCCAATCAAAGGAACAAAAGGAAAAGAGAATAAAAAAGAGTGAAGAAAGCTTAAGGTTCTTATGAGATACCACGGGATGGTCCAATATACACATTATGGGAGTTAGAGGCAGAAGACAGAAAGCACAAGAACACTTACTCAAATTAGTAATGGATGAGAACTCCCCAAATCTGGGTAAGGAAACGGACGTCCAGACTCAGGAAGCCAAAGTATTCCAAAAAAGATGTACACAAAGAAATCCACACTGAGACATCATTAGAATGTCTTTGTCAATAGTCAAAGGCAAAGAGGGGTGATTGTCTGGCTCAGTTGGAAGAGTGTGCAGCTCTTGGGGTTGTGAGTTTAAGCCCCATGTTGGGGGTAGAGATTACTAAAAAAATAAATAAAAACTTCAAAGGAAAAGAGAATTTTGAAAGCATCAAGAGATGACAAATTGTCACGTACCAGGGAACCCCCACAGGACTATGAACAGATTATTCAGCAAAATTTTGAAGGCTAGAAGGGAGCACGATGATATATTCAAAGTGGTGAAAGAAAAAACTTGCCACTCAAGAACATTACACCCAGAAAAACTGTTCTTCATGAACAAAGGAGAGAGACTTTTCCCAGACACACAAAACCTGAGGGAGTTCATCACCACTAGACCTGCCTAAAGAAAGTTTTTCAACCTAAAACGAAAGGATGATAAACAGCAACATAAGGGAATAAAAAAAGTATAAAATCCTGTTTGCAAAGGCAAATATATAGACAAACACAGAATACCGTAATACTGTAACACTGGAGGGTAAATTACTTTTAATTCTAGTATAAAAGTAAAAAGGCAAAAGTATTATAAATAACTACACATAAAAATACGTTAATGGATACACTATGAATAGATTAAATTACAGCATCAGTAACAATATATGGGGGAATAAGAAGTGTTTTTGTATGTGATAGAAATTAAATTCTCAGCTCAAAACATATTGTTACAAGATATTTTACAAAAGCCCCAGGATAACCACAAAGAAAATACTTATAGAGATTATAAAAAAGAAAAATAGAAAGGATTCAAAGCATATCAATACAAAAAAAAAAAAAAATCAAAGAAACAAAAAGACAGGAAGAAAAGAAAAAAGGACAAAAGAACAAGACCAGAAAAACAAAAGGGGTGCCTGGGTGGCTCAGTCGGTAAGCGTCTGCCTCTGGCTCAGGTCATGATCTCAGGGTCCTGGGATCGAGCCCCACATCGGACTCCTTGCTCGACGGGAAGCCTGCTTCTCCCTCTCCCACTCCCCCTGCTTGTGTTCCCTCTCTCGCTGTGTCTCTCTCAAATAAATAAATAAAATTAAAAAAAAAATAGAACAGAAAAATGACAAATAGCAACAGTAAATCCTTTCCTATCAATAGTAACTTTAGGGCGCCTGGGTGGCTCAGATAGTTAAGCATCTGCCTTCGGCTCAGGTCATGATCCCGGGGTCCTGGGATCGAGTCCCACATCGGGCTCCCTGCTCAGAAGGGGGCCTGCTTCTTCCTCTCCCTCTGTTGCTCCCCCTGCTTGTGCTCTTTCACTCTCTCTGTCAAATAAATAAATAAATAAAATCTTTAAAAAAAGAAAAAATAGTAACTTTAAACGTAAGTGGATTAAACTTCCCAAAGTGGCTGAATGGATAAAACAAGATCCAACTATATGCTGTCCTCAAGAGACCCACTTTAGATTTAAGGACACACATATCGGCTGGAAGTGAAGAGATGGAAAAAGATATTCCATGTAAATGGTAACCTAAAGACAGCTAGGGTGGCTATACTTATACCTGACAAAACAGGTTTTAAGTCAAAAACAGTCACAAGAGATGCAGAAGGACATTATATAATGATAAAAGGGTCAACTCACCAGGAAGATACAGCAATTATAAATATGAACACACCCAACATCAGAGCACTTACGTACATAAAGCAAACACTGACAAAACTAAAGTGAGACATAGACAAAAATAATTGGACACTTCAATGGCCTACTTGCAATAATAGATAAAACAACCAGACAGAAAATAAACAGTGACTTGAATACTACCATAGATCAAATGGACCTAACAGACCTATATAGAACATTTCACTCAGTAGTAGCAGGATATATTCTTATCAAGCACACATGGAATATTCTCCAGGATGGATCATATATTAGGTCACAAAACAAGTCTTTCAAGAAATTTAAGAAGAATGAAATCATACCAAGTATCTTTTCTGACCACAGTGAATGAAACTAGAAATCAACAGCAGCATGAAAACTGGAAAATTCATAAATATGTTGAAATTAAACAATACACTTTTGAACAAGCAATTGGTCAAAAAGAAATAGAGAAATTAGAAATAGAATTAGAAAATATCTTGAGACAAACAAAACATACTTATGAGATGAAGAAAAAGCAGTACAAAGAGGAAAGTTCCTACATTAAAAAGGAAGAAAAATCACAAATATACGACCTTACACCTCAAGAAACAAACTAAACCCAAAGTTGGCATAAGGAAGGAAATAATAAAGATTAAAGCAGATATAAACAAAATAGAATAGAAAAATAACAGGAAAAAATGAAACTCACAGTTGGTTTACTGAAAAAAATAAAATTGATAAACTTTTAGTTAGAGGAAGAAAAAAAGAGAAAACTCAAAATAAAAAATGAGGAGACACTATAACTGATGTTACAGAAATGAAGAGGATCATTAAGAGGCTAGTATGAACAATTATACACCATGAAAGTGGATAACCTGGAAGAAATAGATAAATTCCTAGAAATATGTAACCTACCAAGGCTGAATCATGAAGAAACAGGAAGTCTGAATAGACTATAACCTAGTAAGGACATTAACTCATAATAAAAAATCTCTCAACACGGGACGCCTGGGTGGCTCAGTAAGTTAATCGTCTGCCTTCGGCTCCGGTCATGGTCTTGGGGTCCTGGGATTGAGCCCCATGTCAGGCTCCCTGCTCAGCGGGGAGTCTGCTTCTCCCTCTGCCTCCCCCCATGCTCTCTCTCTCAAATAAATAAATAAAATCTTAAAAAAAAAAAAAAACTCTCAATAAAAGCCCAGGACCAAACGGCTTCATTGAAGTCTACCAAACATTCAAATAATAATAATACTGCCAATCTGGGGGTGGAAGAGGGTTGCTAATCCTAAAACTCTTCCAAAAAACTGAAAAGAAGGGAACACATTCAAACTCATTACCCTCATGCCAAAGCCAAAGACACCATGAAAAAGAAAACGACAGGCCAATTCCGTAATGAATATTGATGCAAAAATTCTCCACAAAATACTAGTAAACCAAATTCAACAGCACATTAAAAGGATCGTATACCATGACCAAGTGGAATTTATCCCTGGGATGCAAAGATAATCCAATATACAAAAATCAATTAATGTGATACACCACATTAAGAGAATGAAAGATTGGAGCACCTGGGTGGCTCAGTAGGTTAAGTGTCTAACTTTGGTTCAGGTCATTATCTCAGGGTCCTGGGATCGAGCCCCACGTCTGGCCCCGTGCTCAGTGGGGAGTCTGCTTTTCTCTCTCCCTCTCCCTCCACTCGTGCTCTGTCTCTCTCATATAAATAAAAAAAATCTTAAAAAAAAAGAGAATGAAGGATAAAAATTATATGATCATCTCAACAGATACAGAAAAAGCATTTGATAAAATTCAACACCTTTTCATGATGAAAAACTCTCAACAAACTAATAACACGGATATTACCTCACATAATAAAGGCCACATATAAAAAGCCCACAGCTAATACCATACTCGATGAAAAATTGAAAGCTTTCCCTCTAAAATCATGAAGGAAAAACGCCCACTCTTGCCACTTCTACATCTGGTATACAGAAAACTCTAAAGACTTCATGTACAAACTGTTAGAACTTACAAACCATTAAATTAGGTTTTCAGTTTGCAGTTGCAGAATACAAAGTAAATGTACAAAATTAGTTTTGTTTCTTTACACTAACAATAACCTGAAAAAGAAATTAGAAAAACAATCCCATTTATAATAGCATCAAAAGGAAAATTTTTGTATTTTTGTATTTTTTGTATCCACAAAATACCTAGGAAAACACATAACCAACGAGGTAAGGGACTTGTACAATGAAAACTGCAAAACACTGATGGAAGAAATTAAAGATACACAAGATGATGGAAAGATATTCTGTGCTCATGGATTGGAAGAATATTGTGAAAATCTCCATATTCCCAAAACAATCTACTGATTCAATGCAATCCCCATCAAAATGCCAATGGCATTTTCTATAGAAATAGAAAAAACAATCTAATGAGCCAAAATCATCTTTAGAAAGTACAACAAAGCTGGAGGCTTCACATTTCCTGATTCCAAAATATATCATACAGCTGCAGTAATTAAAACAGAATGGTACTGGCATAAAGACATACATATAAGTCAACAGAACAGAAGAAAACAAATAAATTCACGTATACACAGTCAATTAATATGCAACAAAGGTGCCAACACTATAACAGAGAAGGGAAAGTCTCTTTAACAAATGATGATGGGAAAACTGAACACCCACATGCAAAAGAAATTTGACCCTTATCTTATACCCATACAGAAAAATTACCTCAAAATGTATTAAAGACTTAAACATGAGACCTGACACTGTAAAGCTTCACATAGGGGAAAAGTTTCGTGACACTGGTCTTAGTGATGATTTCAGGATATGACACAAAAAGCAAAACAGACATACAGGACTACATCAAATTTAAAAGCTTATGCACAGCAAAGGAAACAAAAGAGTGAAAAGGCAACTTACGGAACAGGAGAAAATATCTGCCAACCATGTATCTGATAGTGGTTAATTTCTAAAATATATAAGCAAAAGAACTAATAACCTGATTAAAAAATGAGTTAAGAACGTGAGTAGACGTTTCTCCAAAGAAAATGTACAAATGGCCAAGAAGTATGAAAGATGCTCAAAATCTCTAACCATTACAGAAACATAAATCAAAACCATGAAGAAACATTCCCTATTGCTTTTAGGATGGCTGTCATTAAAACAAACAAAAAAGACAAGTAATAAATGTTGGTGAGGATGCAAAGAAATTGGAACTCTTGGGGCATCTGGGTGGCTCAGATGGTTTATCGTCTGCCTTCAGCTCCGGTCATGATTCCAGGGTCCTGGGATGGAGCCCCATGTCAGGCTCCCAGCTCGGCCAGGGAGTCTGCTTCTCCCTCTCCCCCTGCTTGTGCTCTCTCTCTAATAAATAAATAAA